GGAAGCTTTCACGAGCGGGAATATTGAGAAGAAAATTAATGTGAAGCCTCAAGGCTGAAACATGATGATAGGAAATGTCAGTTGTGTTTTGGATTTCAGAATTTATGGCGCATGTAACGTTTGGTTACTGCCTTCGCGAAACACAGGGGGTAATGTGATTATATATAATTAATCACAAAGCCCAAGTAGTGCAGCTGGGATATTTGTGATAAATAGTTTATTCTTTAATGACCTGTAGCCCAAGAAATACTCACTGGAGACAGTTGTAAATGACTGTAATGGATATTATGGAAATTTAGTGATCGGTATTTAGAAAGTGCATGAACAGAAAAAAGATTTGTCTAATACATTTTTAATGGCAATATTTCCATTGGGTTAATCTGCTATCATAAGAAGGCAGATTTTTTTTTTGTTAGTTAGCCAGTTCTAGGTATTTAGCCTTTTACTTTTGGGAAGTCTGCCCAGTAAGTAATAAATGGGGTATTTATAATAGCCAGGCAGAGGCAAATGTTCTAGAAAAATGGGAGGCTGAAAAAATGCCAGATTTGTTAGGTGCAATGATTGCCACAGTTGAAGTCTTTGAATTACATTTCCATTTAGTGGCTAGTGAGATAGGTGTTAAAGAAATAGATGCTCGTCTCCCACTGAAACTCTTGCCAGCAATGCGTTAAAGTGAATCATGTGGAGTTTACACAGTGGTGCAGCTCTCAGACTCTTTTTGTGCCTGTTCTTGCTAATTGGGATATAGCATTGTGTGTGCTTTGCCTTCTAGTTAACGTCTGACAGATCTCTCCTTGTCTACAGCCTTACTTACCCATATTAAATTGAAATTGTCCCAGCAGATTCTGAATTGGCAACCATAATGATTTCTTCTTTCACTTTGGAAGCAATTAGCATGTTATAGGTGTTCGTAGGACTAAGCATGCAAGTGCTCCTTGATGTACTACAGCTGTGTTCAGCTTTGTGCTTATACCAGGAGCTCAATTAAGTTGTTTTTCTTGCATTGCAAGATCCTGACATATGATCCTTATCCATAATAGATTTTCAGGGAACTGAAGTTAAAAACGAGTTCTTTAAGCAATATACCCCTGTGTCCAGCTATTTATGTTGCTGGAAATAATAACAAAATCTTACCTTGGGTAGCCTGGCGCATTCTCTTCCGTTCTTGAGCACCAAGCAATTTTTTTGATAAAAAAATTAAAAATATGTAGTGCGAGAGAACCATATATTAAGATTTTCTCTTTCTTGCTTCTCAGATGTCTTTTAAGGATGCAGCTCTGACTCCATTGGTCTCACAGTGTTTCTTGCTATGCCTGGTGAAAGAAAATAATTAAACAAAAAAAAGCAAAACAATCACAAGGATGAATTGTGCCTGGTTTTATTATTAAAAAAAGGAATAAGTTAAGCAGAGAAACACGGTGAGTTGCAAACCATAATCACCTTTTTCTGCTCCTCTTTGAAAATGTTTTAACAGAGATTACTTAAATGGTTGAACATCAAGCATCTCTCTGAGTGGATCTCTTGAGATCCTGTGGGAGCAAATTACAGGTTCTACTGTCATCCTTTTACTGGCTAAGGACCCTCATGGGTTACTCTTGGCGGTAGTGTCAGCTTTGAAGATGCAGTCTGCAAAGGTGAGTGTAGAAACACTGTTGCAGAGGGGGAGCATTTATGCATCTCTATTGTTTAAAGTCTTCCTTAGTTGCTTTCTGAGGTTATTTTTGTGGTTTATTAGGGTTCAGTGAGACTTAAGTTCTCTTTCAAATAGGTCCTTCTTGAACAGAATTTTTATCTTTAAAATACCTTTGCAGAAATCTTTTGAAAACTAAATATCCCTCTTGAAGAATCAGGCTTCAGAGAAGACCACTGATTTTTTTTGAGCAATCATTCTCTGAGCTTTGTCGAAGAATTGCTTAAGAACTGTCAGACAGTTAATGAATTTCGTAGTTATTAATTAACAAGTTCATTATTTAGTAGGCACTGATAATAGTAAATGATCTCTCACCCTACAGAGCTGTGTGGGGTCCATAAGGCCAGCAGTGCCTCTGGCTCACAGGGTGGTGCAGGGATGGCACACAGTACTTCTGCCTACGAGGGCAAGCAAGGGGAGCCTGCCACAGCTCAGCCCTCGCCTCCAAGGCACTGAATTTGTCCTGGGAGCCCTTTAACAGTCCAACATCAGGAGGGTTCAACCTTACCCTCACCTGAAGGGTGACATCTAATGCCTTCTCAGAAGGGTTTGCTCTCTGCCTTGTCATTCTCCCTTGTGGGAGCCAACGACTCCAGTTCCTTTCATTCCTCAGCTTCAGATCTGTGAAGCTTTGGCACTTACAGATGCACACACATACCCATATGGACACGCGGCTTTCGTGACATTCTCCTAATCACATCCTGGGCTTCACTGTCTGGAAGGCTTTGCTAAGCAGCTGCTCACTGCTCAAGTCAGGTGTTTAAGGCAAGGTGTTTGAAGAAATATAGGTCACTTCATCTGATTAATTTGTGTGGTTTAGAATTGCTTAACAATCTAGTTAGCTCAGCTCCCACTCAGGAGAGAGATTGTAATAAAGTGCTGCTTGAAATCCCAGCCTGCGTGTGTGTTTAGCCTGTTCTCGGGAAGGATGAACCAACAGAAGCAATGACAGTTGCGTCTGGTAAATCACAGAGCTTTACTGATGCTGCTCTCCATTCTGGTGCATAAATTCCCCCACAGTCTGTACTGAATGTTAAAAAATCTGCTGTTTTAGTAATAAGCACATGTTAGCTGCAGTTTTTAAAGAGGCATTTAGAGCCTTTTGGATGCCTCCCAGACTGCATCAAACACACAGTAAAACAGAGTGCAGAGATGGCAGAAGATGCCACTGACTACAGAAAATGTAAGGACTGTTTGTACATTTGTCTCTGGCCTTGCCTCAGAGAGGGGCCTTGGGAAAGGGTGTGGGGTACTTTGAGGAGGGTGATATGCCTGAAGACAGAGTAAGCTCTAAGCTGGGAGCTTTGAGATCAAGTCTGTGTGTGTGCCCTTCAAACCAGTTAGCAGAGTTGTACCTGTACTCCTGCCCTGTGCCTTACCCTCCCTTGCTTCCCCAAAAAAATGGATTTAAAAATCCAGGTGTGTAACAGTGGTTGCGAGCAGCTTCCCACAGCCTCAGGTTTTTGCTTGTGTGTGTAATTTCTGTTAGCAAGTCTTTATGACTGGCCATGAAAAGGTATGTAGGGAACAACATGCAGCCTGGGTGAGGGCACAATTATTAACATACAAACTGTCAATACCTGTTAGCCAATGCATGTATGGCTGCTCGCGGATAGCTTCAAAGGAAGGTCAGCTTTTCATCTGGTCTGCTTCTGCTGGACATGCATTTCCTGACTGATGCTTCAGATCAACCTTCGTGACGGATTTCTCCAGGAAGTCTAGAGCAGACTTTGCTGTCGAGGAGAGGCTGACCAGCAGTGCATCAGCTGCAGCCTTGGTTGCTTTGGTGGTCCTGTCTCCCTTCTGATTGCTTTGGACAAATACTACCCACAGTAAAACTGGAAGAAAGGTGCAGTCAAGAGACGGAAACAGATAGCATTGACCAAGGCTGAGTTTAAAATCTTTTATTATTTAGCATTGCCAAACAGATAATGGAATCTGAAGTTGATTTGCTAAAATGTTTTAAAGTGGATGTCACCCCTGCCTGAGACAAAGCCGGCCTCAGTGGCAGCAGGGACCCTTAGGCTATGGCAGCAGTTCAAAAGAACACTTTAAATTTTGTATGCAACAATGTAAACTTCAAAAATAGTAAACTATAACCTTTCCCCCCCCTTTTTTACATAGCATGTGATCTATCACAGATAGAAATTTAATGGCGAACCAAAATCGCGTAAGTAAACATCCTGGTGCTTACGAGTTTCATAAAAAGTGTTACATTTGATGTAAATATCTTACATTTTTAACTCTTAACACTCACAATTATGGAGTAAAAGCAACTGGCGATTCACCCCCTTAGTCCGTGCTCTCAGACTGTACATCAGCAACCACGCTCATGCCAGCCCCTTGGATAATTTTCATTCAGACTGTCCCACACATGGCCAAAGCTTCCCCTTCCTCACCCTGGTGTTAATCAAGTGCAGCTCCACACAGGGGCAAAACCTCTACAAGTGGGAAGAGAACCAGGTCTCCTGCACGCAAGCTTGCAGACCCCTGAGCCCCGTGTTCCCACAGAAACCATGACGTGTATGGGGGGCACATCCTGATGTCGGTGGGAATTTGGGGTCCCCCAGGGCTGCAAGCCTGAGCCCTGCCATTGCAAGTGCCTCGCAGCGGGACCTGGTTCTGCGTGGATAAAGACAAGAGTTGTGTAGAAGGCACTGGATTTCTCTTGCATGATTTGAAACGTGGACTACAGTCGTGTGCAGAATAAGGAGATTTGGGCTCTAAACTGCTTTCTCTACAGTGCTTTAGTGCAAGCATTTTTAGGGCTTGAATTTTCTCCTGGTTGCAGCGCAGCATGCGCTCATCTACACAGAGTGATTTCCAAACCTCCTCCTTTCTACTTTTCACCCCCATCTTCCCGTCCCCAGAAAGATTCTCTTTTGGTTCCTTGAAAACTTTCAGAGTACAGCTCTGGTCAAAAATAAATGTGTGATGTAGCACAGCATTTGTTTCTTTTAAATCACAGTGTGCAATGCATCATTCGGTACCTAATGTTCAAAATGCCTGCCCTGATTTTCATGAAAATCATTCTTTAAAATAACCTATGCAAATATATTTTGACTATATATTACATTCATTTAAAAAGAGAAGAGAGGTTCTTGGTTTGCGTTTTTTTTCAGTGTACTACGTAAGTGAAAGGTCTGATGTGAAAAAAGTACAAGCAAACTGGACATGCCAAGACTCGATGCCTTAGATGGTGATCATATCAAAACTGTACAGGTATGTACACCGTGTTGGACAGGTGTGCTTCTTCCCAAGAAAAGACCTTTGCATCATCATATATAAGGTTAACCACAAAGTTTTGGTAAAAAGAGCATTTAATGAGCAAAGGATGACATGGAGGGGCGAGTTCTCCGGCTTTTGTTAGGCAGTCCTGAAGCAATGTCTCCATTCCCTTCGGGGATTTCTTCCTTCTTCCGGACTTTGAGACGCGTGAGGAGCTTTATTACCCAGACGTCCCATTCCTCTGGCAAGAGCAACAGGAGGAAGCCCAGGCCAATAATGATGATGGCGATTACTCGGACACTGTTGAAGACAATTTCACTCGTGTAGTGATCGACAACTGTGTGGGACATTGAATGGGTGTTATTACATGGGACAAAGCATTCGGGCAGTATCCCCTTCCTCCCCCTCCCCCCCAGCTCTGAAGGCTACGAAGAAGAACATGGCTACGGAAGATGGGGTGGCAGGGGACTGCCCTTCCGGCTGGTGTAGCACACCTCAGGGTATAGCCCCTTCAGAGCAGGCAGAGCTGGTTTGTGGGGTCAGGATGCAAAAGGGCGCGATGCCCCGAGCTGCAGTCATTGCCTGCAACAGCAGCATCTCCCTTGCTCACTGGCAGTGCAAGAACCCCCGCTGAGGTCTAGGTACACAGAGAAAGGGGCATTTCCCTTCTCCAGCACAGCAGCTCCTTCCTGCAAATTTTTCTTCTCACCCTGACTGCCCTGCTGAATAACAAATCCTGCAGGCACTGAGCTGTGCACGCCTGCTGGCAGGATCACACTGTTGGGGGCGGAGGTCTGCCGGGGCAGCCAGCAGTGTGTGTAGTCAGCACAAAGCTGGGAGCTGCCTCCTGTGCCATGGCACCAGTTCAGCACGCTGGGTTTTAGGAGTATGGTTTGGGAGAGGTGGTGCTGGTTTGAGCCAGGTTTGCCTCCACACTTGGCTGCCCAGCCCTCTCGGGCTGTGCAGTCTCTTCATCTTCACTAAAGTTAAGAAAACTGACGATCTACTCGGCCATGCCCAAAACAGAACTGTCTGTTGCTCTTGATAAACACCTGCAATGGTATTTACCAAGGCAAGCAGAACTACTAGTACATATTTGCTCTAAAATGTAAGCAATTTTGTTTCAATTTAGTGTTAAGCCTGCCTTGAAGAAATCATTAAGAATTAATTTCTACTTCATCCATGAGTTTTCATCACAGCCCAGAGATGGATGACCTCAAATCTACTTTGTTTTTCAGTATGCAGGCTTCTTTGGGCAGTAACTTTAAAAACCATTCTAGAGAGTATTAATATTAATATAATATACAATACATATTTAACAGGTAAAGTATGCATTTTTAATGAGTGTCATCTCTGTAAGTCTTTGAGAGAAGATGCAAAACATGTTTAATAAACCTATTTGCTTTTATCCCTGTTGTGTATTTGAAAGGCCACAGATTTAATGTATTCATTAAGATGCGAAAGGCAGAAATCCTTACCTGCATTCACTGGGACACTCAGTACAATTCCAAGAGAAATCAAGGTGGGGTATGTAATAGCAATCCCAAAATTCAGTAGAATATTGAATGCTAAAGAAAGAAAAAAAACCACACCTTTTACTACAGTGAAACTAGGCAGAGGGAATGTTGCTTGAAACATTTATCCTTTATTACTCCCTCTGTATGTTGTTCAAATAGAAAGCATGTTAACTTCTGTTGTTACTTCTGGAAGATACCCGTGGACAGACATCTGTCTGCTGCATGTCTGTCTGCCTGAGGCATCACTGTTTCTGGGGAACTTGATATTCCACTGGAGTCCAGTGGGAGGAGCAGGTGGGTACAACCTGTCTCCCAGTGTAATGTGCAGAATTCCCACTCTCTATACCAATCCACTGAAAGACCAAACTGCATCTGGGAGATTTCAGCCAAACAGTTGCTTCTGGCTGGATACATTTTTTGGAGAAAAGCTGCCTCCAGCTGCAGCTGCCACCAGCAGCCAGTTCCTGGCACCCTCCTCCATCCCAAGCAGTATGAGAGCCCCCATCCACTCACTCAATAAGAGAATCGAAAATCCACAGAGGTTTCCCCAAGGAATGATGTCGAAAGAGCTCCAGTACTCCACTTTGGTAAAATAAAGGATGACAGGAATACAGGTAACAAAGAGGACGTTGAAGACAGCTAACACGGATAGGAATAAGGCAGCTTCTCCAAATTTAGCACTGCCAAGAAGAAGTTTAAATAAAACCTACAAAAGGAAAACAAATGGGTTTAACTCTCTTGCAGCTCCCCAGGACGCCAGCCCAGGCGCGGCATGCGCAGCTTGTCCCCAGCAGCAGATCCAGCGCAGCAGCAGCCCACAGACCAGAGCACAGCCACAGCCTGACTGATGAGACCACAGGGAGTGATTTAAAAGCTTTGGTTTGTTAGTGGGAGAAGGGATAAAGAGAGAGGAAATGAGGGGTGTGACCGGCCCATGCGGGGAGCCCCAGCAGACTGGCCTGGGCTGGGCTCTGCATCAGTTTTCCACCACAGAACTGCAGAGAATCCGGTGGGTCCCACGGGCTCTGGGTGTAGCTTTTCCCTGCCACAGGCTGCAAACCAGGAGAGCGATGGGCTCTGACTTACTGGTTTGTGCTGGGACGGTAGGCCCCCTTGCTAGTGTTCAGTCATCTCTTCCCTTTGCCTACCCAGAGCCCTGTGGGCAGGTCTGCAGGCTGCCGTGCTTGGGGGGCTGCTGCCTGCTCCCACCACCTCACAGCCATCACTGGCCACTGCGGCTGTGTTGCTGCTCTGTGAAAAAGCCACTTACTCCTCATTTGCCACCCAAGAACAGTGTGTTGCCCGTGGCAGGGGGGTCCATACGTGGAGTGCCCGTGCCCAGGGGAGGAGGGCAGGTGGAGCCAGCTCTGCTGCCCGTGGTGCAGCTTGTCCACCTGCAGCTCTGCCGCACAGTTGATGGAAACTGAGCCAGACTGCAGAAAGCAAGAACTGAGCAGCAGCAGCAGCAGCAGAGTGGCATTTGGTGCAGAACAAGCTGCACAGCTCCATCTGTCCTCACGTGTGAGGTGTGCCACAGACTAACACCCTGCCGGCGCTGCCCCCATCGCCTCCCTGTGCACAGGCTTTGGTGGAGCAGCCCTGAGACCCTCCATCCCCCCAAGGAGCAGAGGTGCCGTGGGACATGGGCAGAGCTAGGCTTTAGCCTTGGGTAACCCTCCCTGCCTGCAGAGGACTCCAGAGCCATGGGGTTTCCTCGGGCTACGTCTCTGGTCTTGTAAGGAAATGCTCTTTTAGAGGAAAGAGCTGTATGAAACTTCATCACCTCCCTTATGTAAGCCAACGTCTGATCTGAAAAAGTGAGCAGAAAGCACTGCAGCACAGCGCTGAGGGACACAGACAGATGCTTCTCAGTTTGGCAAGTCTCCCTGGACTGCTTGTGTTCAGGCTGCAGGGCTTGCCTGGCCAATTTATGTTGGGGAACTGGTACAGTGCAATTCATTAAACCAGGCGGAGACCCCTACACCTCATCCCAGTCTCCACAGCCGAGCCAGGGTGGGTGGAGTGCTCCCTACATGTGCTTACCCCTCTCTGTGGACTGTGAGCCATGAGCAGCACAAAGCCAAGTGCACGTACCTGTCTTGGGCTCAGTGAAACGTCTCTCTGCCTGGCACAGCAGGCTGCATGTCACCTTACACATGCTGCAGCATGCCCAGCTTCTCAGGATGAAACTTTGATTCATAGGCATGTGCTCTGGATTTTAAAAACGTGATTATTTCCATGATAAGCAATACTTCAAGCCCAATGTAGTCTACATATGCCACTGAAGGCAGACTGGCAAAGGGAGGTAACACAGCAACTTGAAAAAGAAGCTAAACCTCTGCAGGGCACTTCCAGAGTGAGGGATGAAATTCAGCACCTATAGGAAAGCAGCCACATTTTTCAAGAAGGTGGGGCATCTGTAAGTTCTCCTGTGGGCACTGGAGAAGACTCTTCCCAGGAAACAGGAGTTTTTATCTCAAGTGAGGGCGGACATTGAAACAAGTGAATGCCTGACTGCAGTGTTGCAGAGTCACCCTCAAAGAAGGGTGCGTGGCACTGAACTGCTTGAAGGCTTGCAAGTAAGACAGGGGCAGTTAAAGTGAGTGATGAGGGTGATTGGCATCTTTCTGGGGGTGAGGACCCAGGTGTGCTTACCTTGTAGAGAGCAGACATTGAGGCAGAGCCCACCACCAGGGCTATCCCAATAACGGAGTGGCTGTGAAACCCATCAGCGTACGTCATCATAACTATCCCTGCAATAGCAAATATAGCAGCCACGATCTGGTTGGAGACAAAGAAAGAAAGAGCGTGTTACTGGAGAAGCCCCAACAGGGAAAGCCATGAGAGCAGCTTTAAACGAGAGGGCAGCACTTCTGCATCACCTGCTCCCTTCCTTATATATAAAACGAGCAGCAAGCCCAAGCTGGTACCC